AAGAAGCAAATAAATCAATAAAAGAGCCAATGGTGAAAGTGGCACTGATGCGGCCTACCTTAGGTCCTTGTATAAGCAAGCTGTGGGCTACACCTAAACTACTGCAAAACAAGGCTTACATGAGCACGTACAATGATGGAAGACTGATAGGCCTTATGAGAAGCAGGGCCATCTTAACCCATGGGCCTGATGGGCCCTTGCCCGCGGGCCCCATACTAATCTGTGTATGTTAACCCTTGGAAAATTGGAAAACTTCCAAAATTAACCGTAGTTGTAGTTGTCATAGGGGCCCCAGTACACTGCTTTGCCCGGGGCCCATAATGCTGATAAGACGGCCCTGATGAGACGAAGGCATGCTTTGGTAGTTGAGCACATGCTTTTCATGTGGAAGTTCCCAGGTTCAAACCCTGATATCTTCCATGAAAGCATTTTGGTAATGACAGGGAAAACCCTCTGCCTGAGATCTTTAATAATTACTGCCAGTCATTATCACATTATAGGAATTGATTATCTGATTCAGTACGAAGCAGCTTATTTTCTTTTCCCATCCCTGACCTGCCTCTCATGTGTGCAGCTACAAATGTATGCATGCACATTACATACACACGAATGATTCAAGAATCTTGCTATTAGCAGAGGCTTACCCCTCATTTCAAATTGCAAGACGTCCCCTCAGTGTTAAGCAGGAGTTTCATTGCTGCTATCCCAACTAGTTTGGTAACCTGTTCCAGCCAACAATTCCTTCAGCTATCCCAGGACTTTGAAACAGGTATCTAGTCTAGTTATATGTAGATTTATTAAAGGACTGAAAGGTCTCCAAGATGATTAAGCCATTGAATCCTCTATAAATCATATATAAAACTCCCAAATGTTTTGAATACAGGCAAGTAGCATCAAAAGGAACTATCAGGGCAACCTGACTAGCCCTACTTTACGCTGCATCTACAAGCCAACAAAGAAAGCCTGAGTAATGTTACTGTGCATGAACACCCAGACGCACAGAACACGAATTGAATGGTGAAGTGCTAACTTCAGACACAGAGAATGTCTGATAAGAAGAGCCCGGGCAAAGGTGTTGACCTCCATAGATGAGATTCCAAACTTAAAACAGCAGCAACCACAAAAATCCCAAATGCATTGAAGCTATATTTATCCGGCCAAAGGGCAAGAGAGGAGAGCTTCCTTTCTGTTGGCAAGAAGGAAAAAAGCAACAGCAAGGCATTTGGTGCATTGTAATATTTAATCCAGAAAATTGTTTCCAACCTGGTTCTTTGGCCATCAAAATCAGTACAAGATCATGCATTGCTCAACACATACTCTGTGCCATGTTACATCTACCATTTTACAGTGCAGCCAGCAAGAATCTGGACATTATTGCTTAGGTGAGTGGGATTCCGGGTAGGGAACCAACTGTGCTACGCCCTCTGTGCAACAGGGATATCAAGTGTGTGTGTGTGTGTGTGTGTGTGTGTGTGTGTGTGTGTGTGAGAGAGAGAGAGAGAGAGAGAGAGAGAGAGAGAGAGCAGTCTCTTTTTCTCAGCCTCTCTTTCTCATTCTGTGTTTGTTTCAGGATAACACTGAAGTCATTGTGATCAAACAGGTTGCTGCAGAAAATTGCAAAGCAGAGCTAGGCACGACAGCTTAGGGCAACCAAGAAGCAACTAAGCCAACCAACCCAGCCCTCAACCCAGAGGAAGGGAAAGACAGTCGGACACATCAGTAGGAACTTCTCTGTCAAAGAGATGGGACCCTTTGCTCACAATATGGTTCTGGTCACGTTTCCTTCTTTTGTGCCCAGCCTGGCTTCTGCCTGCTGCTAATATTGGGGAAGTGTGGTCAGATCACCACTTTTATAGAGGTTATCAAATATGTATTGTCAACAGCATCTGGTCATCTACTTGCCCATTCTATGTTCATGCCCATTTTCCTTTGAAATGTAGTAAATTCCACCAAAGAACGCTCAGGTTTGAAAAATTAGGGTTCTTTACAGGAAAACAAGGTTGCCATTTGCTAACAGTGCAAGAAACAAATATCATGCCCTTCATTACACTTGAATACACTCAAGTTAATTCTTACACACTGTGCATAAACCTTTCAAGGACCATTTAAAGGACACTAAAGGGGGCTTAGCAGCTGGCGCAACAGGCAATTTAGTGTAGTGGGGAATACAAGAGAAGCCAAAACAAGGATCCTTTAATTGAAGGATGTTTATCATGTAGAAAATGAGTATTATATTCTATGGAGTTCCTCTGGTAAGAAGGCCCAAACTTCTGATGAAGTCTTCCTTCCATGTTCTGGCCATGTTCTGGCCCAGACAAACTAGCTAAAGGATTCAACACCATCACCTGCAAATTTGTGATATATTCCCTCAGATGGATTGAATGCCTCTGTGGAGTCTGCTATACATCTTGAGAACATGTGTGTTCCTAGACCATGGCTAAACTCCCAGAAACCAGGGGTTCCACACTCACAAGTCTTCAGCAGGTGTTATAGAACACCAGTGATGATTATGCATGTGTGAATCAGGCCTCTGTGGTTCTTTGAAGAATGCAAAATGTAGCATAAGCTCCAGGAATTCAAGTGCACGGGAGTGAAAATGATCTCTGTGCAAATAAAGAACTCTGCCTGTGCTGGAATAATGTCTTCACAGAGCTGACCCCGATCCCGCCTTTAAGGAGAGGAGGGAGCCCAGAATAATGAATGCACAGGACCTTGATTCAGAACTGGCTTGTGTGAAAACATTCCTGGGAAGATGGCAATACCTCAGTGCACACGATAGTGAAGATATTACTTTGTCAGATGCCAGAATAGAAAATTACTATTTCTGCTGAAGACAGACACACATGATGACATTAAAGTTGGACCAACAGAGAGCCTCAATTTAAAACAAAAACAAAAGCAAAACCCAGTATCAATGAGATTCACCAGTTAGATTCTAGAGCAGGGATGGGAAATGCGGGGCCCTCCAGATATGGTGGGACTACAGCTCACATCATCCCTCACTATTGGCTAGGGCTGATGGAGGTTGCAGGCCAACTACATCCAGAGGGCCAACCACACAATCCTCAGGCTCACATGCCACCTTTGCCATGGATTCAGCATGTAGACTTGGGTTGCTTACACTCCTCCTCATTCTGTCTTGAAAATCAAAATATGGCCATTTAAGACTGTTTTACATTCTGAAACGTCTATGAAAAGACTAGTAACAACATTCTGCTCTCAACTTGGAGCTCAGCATTTCTCACTTTTGTAGCTTAGGATGAAATTTGAAATGGGGAAGATGATTATTCAAATGTGTAAACACGTTTTCCCTTCCAAATTCACCAGAGAAGTAAACTTAAGAGCTTAGTAAACTCTTTTCTGTAGCTTTCTTTGGACACAGGGAAGAGGTTTTTGAGCCATGCTTTATTTCCTGGATGCAAAGAAAAACTTACTGCTAAGCTGAGGTTATTTGTAAGAACTACAAGAAAATACTCTTTTGGAACTGATTTTATGTCTGACATGGGGTAACACAAGAGCTTACCTATGTAAATATCCTACAGATGTCAACCATGTTTGAATACACATATTATGTGCATACAAACGTGCAGTGTAAGCATAATGATCAGTGCCCCAGGCCATTGATTATTGGTCTACTTTGTGCAAACAGCCCAGCACATGTGTAAATTCATTTAATTCATGACATATTTATGCAGACAAATGCTTCTGTGCCTGGGCTGGGCTGTAGGAAGGTCTTAGTGTGCCCATGTCCTGCCTGTGAGCTTCGCATAGATATCTGGTTGGCCACTGTGGGAATGCTGGACTAAATAGGACTGTTGTCTGATCCTGCCTGGCTCTTCTTACCACTGTAGATGGATGTTCCTTCTTAACCGCCCGGTCCAGGAAGGGAAATACCAGCTTAGTCATGCTGCTGATGCCCAGGCAAAGATGCCAGCAAATAACTCTTCAAGAGATGGGACTGAAGTTTTGTCTGTTCCTTGTTGCTTTACAAAAAGTACATCTACAGATAACAAGTAGCTGGAAGCATGTGAAGAAAGATGGGATAATCAGGTCTCTGAAAATCTCCTGTGAGCAACGCAGCAATGTTTCCAGCTTAGTTCAAAAATGCATCTGGCTGAGGAAGGTCCCTGAGAAACGGTCCATACGGCTGTCAGCTGGGTGAGCCGTCACATGCTGGAGGGACAAATGCAGATTGAGGAGCATCCCAGGAGACAGGAATGGAGGCAGCATCTCACATCAAGAGTGGGAGCGACAATAAACAGAAATCACAGAACCATTGGTCTCCCAGGAGCGAACTGTTGAACAGGCTCCATTATGAGATTCTTTAGCACATGACCACACAGAATTGTCCTGCATCTTTTTTGTTTTGACGGGGCTGTACGAACCCTGAGCAAAAGCCACACACACACACACACATAAAGAGCTCTCAGAAGGTTTAGGACAAACACATGGACGGAGAGACACAACACATCTACATGGCCCCCTTGGCCGGAGAAGGGCCTTGTATTTCCACATGAGGTACGCATGCGGCACAGAATTATCACTGGGGATTTCTGAACAGTGGGGAGGGGAAGGAGCATCATGTCAAGAGATACAAAGGGCCCTGCAGGGAAATCAACCAGCATTGTTTTTGTGGTTGCAGGACCCGAAGTCAAGAAAAGGGTGTGGATTACAGCTGTGGAAATCTCCCTCACACTTTGTTGCAGAACTGTTTGCAATGACTAAAAAAATCCCCTGCAGACGATTTGACAGAAAACAAAATCGGACTGGAGCGACTTTCAGCTCCAACTGTGTGTAAGTGGGAGCACAGGGAAAGTGGTACTCAAGCCATTCCCCCAAACCTCCTTCTGTCCCAAACCAAAGCCATCCTCAATCTATCTAGAAGATTCCATGAAGCAGTGATTAGCCAGGTGCTCAGGTATGGGATGGGCTGGAGTAAGGCAGGGCTGCCCTTGCCTTGCTGTTGACATCTCTTTATACTCTTCCATCTTGCTTTGTACTCGTTTTCCATTCAGATTTCTGTTAGCGTGTCAGCAGGCACAAGGCCTCGCTTTTTGCCACTTGTCACCTTGATGAAACCCTCGTTCTCCTTTGTCTTCCCCACACCAACACAGATCTGGGAGAAACAGAAGACGAAAAACTAAATGTTATCCCAAGGACTGAAAAAATAAGAATACAAATCGTAGTCATGGTGTCAGTCACAGGAGCCTCTTCTTAGTGGTGTAGGTACCGCTCTGGGAGGAATATTACCAAGGGTGTTACATAAATCCTTCAAATAAATCTTACTGGAGCTTCTCAGAGCAGAGCAGGGAGGAGCACCGGATCATTTTTCTATTGCTAGGACTTCAGCTTTTAGGCCAGCCCTGCAACCAGGCAAGATTCAGGGAAGGCAGGAGGGAGGTGGAGGCATGGCTGGTCTTATTAAGACTAGTATAATTTAACTTTGATTAAGTTTATCTGCTTGTTTTGGTAAGCACATTATTTGTGGTCTTTCTCATTCAGTCTGGGGGCAAAGCCTGACAGTGAGACCCTCTTTCCAGGTGGGATTATTTGGGCTCCGCAGCTTTCCCAGTTTTAAGATGCTTTATATTCACAAAGGTTGGAGGCACTGTTCTTTTTAGGCAGCTTCATTGCAGGAAATAATATTTTAAAATCCATGGTTCCCTCTTGGGCTTTCTTCTATTATGTTTTGGGTAGCTCAGCTGTTCTTCCACTTGGGGATCCATTTTAATCACCGTTCTTGGGCAGACCAATCAGTGCCCAGCTGGTTTTCTGGGCTCACTGCCTAATAGGGCAAGCCCTGGGACTGAGTTCCAGGCACCCATCCAGGCCTCTTCTTTTCCCCCCGCTTGCCCTGCCAGCAGAGCTTGCCTTCTCAGGCCCCACTCCTGGTTTACACCAGCATTTGCTGGATCTTGTTACTTTAGCTCTTTGTAACTGGCTGCCCCTTCTTAACTGCTTGAGATTAAAGGTGTTTTTTGTTTGCTTGAGAGATATTATTAAGATGCACCAAAGCAATTCTGTCAGTTGGCACCAGGCCCACCAGGAATGGATGCTGCTGTATCAGGCAGATGGATCAAGCAGCTCTGACTAGATCATTAGTAGGTCTTTGTTGGTTCAAGAGGGGAGGGAATTTGGCAGGGGTGTTAACTAAAGTGATAAGCATTCATGGTGCAAACTCCTGCTCTGCTGGGAGTGAACATGGCAGGCGGTGGGACCTATTGAAGCCTGAGGGTCAGACTCTATTTCAAGAAGAGCTCAGGGGCCACCCACCACTGGTGGACAAGGCAGAAGGCAAAGCAGGCAAGGTCAACATACCAGCATAGTTTAGATTCTCAAGGCCAGGGTCCAAACTTGGCCTTTGGGGTTCCCCAGATGGCTTTGTTCCTTCCCTGGCCCCACCCCTTTCTCCCAAGCAGCCACCATTAGCGATCACTGCTTTCTGATAATCTGAGTTGTGTCCCAGGCAGACTGCATTCTGGGAATGAAGAGGTGCCACAGGGCTGTAGTTCCAGCGTGAGAACCGTCCACTGCCCTCACAACAGAGAACAACCTGAGTTTGAACACCTTGCCTCTTTGTGTAGCCAAAAGACTCCCCATTCTCTGCTGGTCTCCTCCAGAAACATGTCACCAGCCTAACTTCTCTCACATCCTCGACCCACGGCCCTTTTGTTCTTCCCCTGCTTGCCTGAGCAGCTTGCATACCAGGCTAGCTTCGACCACATCCTCTTGATCTCCTTTTACGTGTGCCATATCTGGAAGATCCTCTCAGACACTGACATGTCCTGGAGCCCGGCCAAGGCCTGATATGATTGCGTTCCCCAATCTGCCTTTTCGCTTGATGATAATAATTCTAATGGTCTAATGTGAACCCTGGCCAAGTCCCATCCTGCACCACTCAAACCAAAATGGGACATGAGTGGCATGGGAAAGATGCCTCCAACTTGGCCAGGGTACCTTCTCCATGGAGACGGAGGCAAGGAATGCTGCTGCTTTCTCTGCACAAGAGAAAAAGCGGGCGAGGCAGAGCCCAGTGGTGTGACAGCACCCTTGACTCCATCCAGCCTGCCAGATTTGGTCCAGGGGAGCAGGTGGCAATCTGTCCCTTGGACTAAGAGAAGTTGTCCGTCCACAATATAGAGGACTGTGTCCCAAATTTATGATGCCGAGGCACACATTTTGCTGAATTGAATTGCTGATGCAGTTCATCACAAAAAATGACTTCTAGAAGTGTGCAAGGCTGAAGTGGGTCCTGCTGCCCTAGGAATAATTTTATGTTGCTTTTGGCTTAATTTCAGCAGCCCGCTGTGAGCAATCATTTCTGTTCTCTGGCAAGAGCACGCTCTCTCTCCTTAGGCAGCCTGCCTGGTAGGGGAGGAGAAGGGGGAGGGGGAGGAAAAGGAGGGGTGCCCAAAAGGAATAGGAGTAGCTCTGCCCACAGGTAACTTCCCAAATTACTATGTCAAGGAATGCAGCCCTTGATAGCACTCACCCCGCTGCATTTATGGGAGAGCGACTGCTTTGAGTGTCCCTCCTGAGGGAATGACTATTCTGCAGGGAATGGGCATGAAGAGTGATTGAATGCTCCATCACACCCAGTGGAAAGAAGTAGCATCACAGACTCCTTGGAAAGAGGCTCTCAGAACCATTGGCTCACTTGATTTATTTTTCAGAGTCTCTATCAGTTCTCTCATGGCAAGCCATTAAGAATCAGAACCCCCTACCATTTCAAAATTGCAGTTATTATTTTCTCTTGATGCTTGCTGTTTTTTAAATTGTTGTTGCAACACTTAATATAATGCAGTAAATAATTATGTCACATGACACCATTGCTATCATCCAAAAACAACCAAGTCAACCAGCTCCACTGTTCTGGTGATAGCACACCTTAAAACGAGTCAAGGCATACCTCTCCCTACTGCCAGGAAGTTGCAAAAACTTGGTCTTTGCAAACTTAATAAACATGAGGAAGGATTCTGACAGACAACCTCATCTTGAGCCTAGGAAATGCACGAGTTGCTGGAGAGAAACTGAGGCAGGCAATGCAGCAACTGCTTTATCACAAGCTGAGTTGAATTCTTATTTCCTGCACTACCACCATTCAGCTTCAGCACTGACATGAACTATACATTGAATTGTAAACTGGATAAATGGTTTATACAACAGTCATAATAGTGTTTTGCCAGGACACTGAATTCAGTACAAATTTGCTAAATCTAGATTTGGGCTCCTTCAGAACAGTAAAGGAGTTGATCATTTCAGGATTGTTTTGCTAAAACAAGACCCCTTATCATAAGCTAGCAGAGTTAGAAACTCAGGATGTGACAAAGCCAGTCTCTTGCTTAGGACATCTACTAGTCCCTGCATTTTTCTGTGGAACGGACCACAGGTAATGCCCTTCCTTTCCTCACATTTACACCAGCACCCCCCAGCCTTGTGCCCTGCAGATGTTTTAGGGCAGAGGCACTGGAAATTGAAGTCCAAAACATCTTGGTTGCAGAAGGATGATTTAGGAAGCAATCCTATGGCCCGACACAGTGGCTGAGTAGACACAGGGTATTTTAGATTCCCTCATCCAAGGTCAGAGACTGCTCTCTGACTTTGAAATGGAGAATTCGAGCTCTGCCCCCTCACAATCAGTATGGGAAGAACCACTACAGTTGGGAACTTATCCTCAGAGAAGGAGAATCATAGAATAGTAGAGCTGGATGGGGCCTACAAGGCTATCAAGTCCAACCCCCTACTGAGTGCAGGTCTCCAAGTCAAAGCATTCCTGTCCAACTGCCTCTTGAACACCTCCAGTGTGGGAGAGCCCACAATCTCCCCAGGCCATTGGCTCCATTGCTGTACTGCCCAAATATTGGAAAAGTGCTATCTTGTCTCCCCTCAGTCTTCTCAAGGCATAGCATGCCCAGTTCTTTCAACCTCTCCTCATACAAGAAAGAGGTGTTTTGTGGGTAGGAAGGGGACAAGACTGGAGAGGTCAGGATATGAATGATCCTGAGGCCTCTTGAATCCCTTTCCTACTCCATCTGACATGTCCCTGCTAGATGGACGAAAAATGCAGGACAGGAGGACAGGAAGAGAAGAATTATTTCTGCTACTCTTCGATGCCTGTGAACCTCGGGGTTCGGGGCTTTTGAGCATCAAGGGCACAACCCAGAAGATTTTTCCCTTAAGAAGCAGGTTCAGTATCCCGTATCACAAAAAACCTGCATGGCAGGGGTAAGAAACCCTTTTTCTTTTGAGGGTTGCATTCCCTTTGGAATAATCTGTGGTCTTCTCTCTTCCTCGCATTCCTTTCTTTCTGGTCAGCAGCTGCCAGAGGTCCAAGCTGATGGTCTGCAGAGGGCTTTGATAAGCTGTTTCTTCTCACCTGGTTTTCCTTAAGGCTTAGCTGTCCCTGTTCCTTGTTGCCATAGAAAGTCTTGCAGCATCTCCAGACTGTTTCACCTGGACGAACTCGCTGTACAAAATTGGCTGGGAAGAAGCCCATGCGGTCACCCATCTTCCCCTAGAATACAAAATAAAAAAGTTGAGGCTACATAAGCATCTGAATATGTAAATAATCATGCTACCATGTTTTTCAATCCACTCTCTCCAGTCAAGAGGGAAAGAAATTGCCCCTTGAAGTTAAATTAAAATTAATTGCAAAATCTTAGGATTCTAATAAAGATCCATAAGCAGCAAAATTATGCTTCAATTGCTCTGCTTTACAAGAAATACCAGTGCACTATCTTTAATTATACCTCCATTAATCATTTTTTGGTGAGTGGTAAAGCCCATTTTTATGTAGCTTGGCTTTTAATGAGTTTTAATTATATGTTAACTTCCTTGGCTGGGGTGGGTTTTTAAAAAAGCTTTATTATATAGTAGTTTAATGACTCTCATTTCTGTTGCATTAAGATTGTTATACTGCTTTAATACCATGCCTAGAGAAAGGGGTCTCACTGTTGTTAGGGAGCAAGGCTGGGGGTTTCAGAACAGAGGGGCCTGTACCTCCCATGATTGCTCAGCATTGGCTATGCTGACTGAGGCTGATGGGAGTCGTATACCAACCAGCCATGGAGAGCCATAAATTGCCCATGGCTGCTCTACAGCAAGGCTATATTGAAGTTTTTCAGTAGCCATCCTCCAGTGATCTGGATGCACTGAGCAGATGGCTCTTGGGCAAACGGGCTGTAGCAACCTTGGGAAAACTGATCCCAGGGTATTATTTCTTTTTGTCTGCTCACTTGCACTCAGCTTCTGCAAATGGAAAATTAATTCTTCCATTTCAAAATGATACTACAAAAATTTCTTCTGTAATTTGGTACTCTTGAAATCCCAAAGAAAGAAACTCAGTGGGAATCAAGAACTGCTCCTTCTCACAGATATTGTAGAGTGCTCATGATTACTTCAGAGTTAAGAAAAGGCAATTTCCATGTGCTTAGAGCTCTTTGCAGTAACTTCAGGGCTGAAGTCATCTGTCCCAAATAGATCTGGAGGCTTATTCCTATTTTATCACTTACCCTCGCCACTTCAGTAGCACTCCCTTTTCCAACACTGCTCTGCACCAAAGAGCAAGAGCAGCTTCAGAAAATATTTAAAATTCGGTGCTAACTACCAAAAGCTTGCACTAGAGTTTTTGAATAAGCAGCCATTAGGGAAGAACAGCAGTGGATACAATAAGGGAGTGCAAGACTCCATCCTTTGACTTTTTACGAGTCTCTTTGGGCAGCTAGAAAGCTCTGGAAGTGTGAAAGATGCTCCTGGAAGCAGCCATGTTGCTATGACAACAGGGACAAGGAACCAGATTTGTGTCTGGCTGGCTCAGAGGCCAAAGCCTTTCCCTGAGGGCCTATAAAGAGTGCTCCTGATAAAGAGTAGAGAGGATATGTAAATTCAAGAGAAGGAGCAGTGTGGGGCTGGGCAAGATAATGGTGTGCGTGTGTACGTGTAATGGCAGTGAGGGCACAGAAAGCAGATCCTGCAATGCAAGGCATGCCTTCTTGTGCCCTGAAAGGCCCCAAAGGGGAACGGGGGCATAGTGAGAAAGCATATAATCACCAGGGAGGCAACGAAGGTTGTGGGGAGTCATTGGGGGGACATAGATTCATCTCCTCATGCCCTTCCCATGATGCGCCTCCTTTACCTCTGGGAGATGCTAGTTGCTCCCCAGAGACTGCATTTTAACAAAAAGATCTCAAAGTCACTGGCAGGCTAAAACTGGAGGATAGTTCTGCTCACCTTCCACCAGTCCTCATTGGAATCATCCAACAGCATGATTCGATCTCCAGGCCTGAAGGGACAGAGGAGGTCTTGTTTACCTCTGTTTGCAAGTGCCAGGGTGGGGTACAATGACAGAAAGGCTGCAGTATATGAAAAGAAAACCCTTATGCCATCCCCAAGTCCACCAGCAGTGGGCATCCTCCCCAGCTCCCATCACCTGTATAATTCTGTCTGTTTACACAGAAAATTTCCCTAAGACTCAGTTAATAAGTCTTATGACATCCATGGGAAGTCAGGCAGTATTCGGTATTTTACCTTCATATATAAGGGGAAGGAGGCATAGGGCTTAAAGGCCCGAGACTCATCAGCTCCTATGCATGCCCTGAACCTTTGGGGTGGCAAGGTGGGGGAAAAGACACACTTACTTCAGGGGTAGGTCATTGTTCTCCTGAGGCAGAAACTTGTAGAGAGCTACATATGAGTACATGGGTGAGATCTCCTTGCGTGCAGTGCTCCGGGCTGACTGTAGGTACAGGAAAGACCGAGCAACAAATCAGAACTCAAAAATCTTTAGGGTTAGGGTTAGTTTTGGCACATTAGGCTCCCAACATGGTCTGTTCAACATGGTAAATCACACTTAATTCAACAGAGCTTATTCATAAGTAGATAGGCACAGGATTGCTACTTTAGGAATAAACTCCATTGAATTCAGTGGGACTTACCTTTAAAAGCTTATAAAGAATTGGACTAAAATACATTTATAACTAAGATAAACAGACAGACATGAGGGCTGTGTCCAACTTTGCACTAAAATAAAGAGCATCATACTATTTGTATAAAACATTAATACATTTCATGTGTTTTGCAAAACATGGCTGAGCAAAATGGAAAAAAAATCTTGCTGTTTTGTACAATTGGCAGTTTTCACCCAAGGAATGGGATAGGTTTGCTTGAAAGGAACCTTCAAAGGGGAATAAAATTTGGCAGCTGGAATTGGGAGAGGATGCAGCAAGGAATAAAAGTAGATGTGTGTGTATGAAGTAAGTTTGTGTCAAATTGGCAAAGAACATTTTTCAGTCATTTCACCTACCTTGAAATAACTGTTTTGGGTATATTTGAGGTGTAGGAATGAAGCCAAAACTAAAGCCACTGAAATGTTGATGTTTTCAAGAAGCCCTGTTCTGAGGTGATTTTTGAATTCTGGGAAAACATGTCTTCTTTCTTTAATGGGGCCAACATTAAAGCGGACAGCCTTTCAGTGTTTGCACTTATACACTTACAGAGTGGGTGAATTGTTCATGGCATTTTATTTTATTCAGGAAGAGCTGCTCTGTTAAACACCTCTCCAGAGAAAGGGCAGTGAATGAAACAGGCTTGGTAAAAATAGAAAGTCATAGTGTACTGTTCAATGCTATCCTATTTTTAAACCTGAACTACCAGGAAAGATGTTGTTTGCCTTTGGAATTTTTTAAAATAAGAATGTTTTGCATATAAATCATAGAAACTCCAATCAAGACAAGACCCAAAGATGTAAACTGTTTTGCATGCTTTCTAAAAAAGGAGATTTCAAGCAATAAGAGAACAACAGTGTATGTCCAGGCAGTATCCAGGCAGAAACCAAAGTAATTCTCCTCAAATTACTGGAGCAATTCACAAAATGTTGGTCTATTCATTCAAACTTAGAATGGAGCAGGTGTGTTTACTACCTGTTGTCCTGGGCTCTTTTCCTCCAAGGTGGCACTTTCACTTTCTGGTGGCCCTGGGAAGACTGAAGCAAGCAAGAGGAAGGATATCAAAATTAGCAAGTTATCCTGGAGCAATCACAACAGTTCCAGTATATACAACATCAGAGGAAGTGTTGGGGGATTCACTACCTATCCAATGTCACTTATGATCTGATGCCTGGTTTCTTTAGCCCCATTTTTCCTCCCCTAGGGCAGATGTGAAAGCTGCCCATAGGAATCAAGGTGAAAATTTGGGATTTCAGCATACATAGCTCAAGTTGAGCTGAAGTGAATCTCAATCTCTCTCTCTCTCTCTCTCTCACACACACACACACATACACACGTTAGCAGCAAAAGCAAGAGTTCGTATCCTTTCTGACTGAGGTCTAATGATGTGAACAGGTTAGTCTGAGTTTTTTGTTCCACTTTTTAAACATTTAGTAGCCCAATATATCTACACTTAAGCAAATGGGCTCAGACAAGTATTTAAATAGGTGTTCACTGCAACCCAAGAGGTATTTTGTATGGGGATTTTTTCACTGGAATTCCAAAATGGCCTCAATCTGCAATTTAAACAGCAGAACATATCAGGGGCTGTCATATGCCTTCTTCTTTCAGCACCCAAATCGCAAAATATGAGAATAATGACTTGGAGTTCCTTTGGAATTGGAATTAGCACAGCAAGTCTCATAAGCACTGTATGGAGTACACATTCAATTCTGCTAGGACAAAAATTGTAATTGGGACAGTTAAAAGTTTGCATTACTTATGTAAATACCCAAAAGCAAAACAAATCCAGCTTTCCAGGTCCTAGGTCTATGTTCAGCGTTCTTCTTTTAACAAGTTGTTTCTGTCAACAAGATTAATGAGGCTATTTGGTTTTGTTTTCTGCTGATATATTTTGTATGTCACTATGTTTTATTTTGGCTGGTGTTTTTTATATTTTCTTGGTTTGATTTTTTTGTTCTGCTTTTAATTGCTCTTGAGTGGTTGGATAGACTATGGATGTTTTTAATACAAGAACACCAGGATAACAACATCATAAAATAATGTAACATAAATTGCTTTTAAATTTTCCAGTGATGCAGGCAAGTTAATGAGCCCATACTTGTCTCTCTTCCCATTTGAGAAGATGTGGAAAACTTCTTCAGACATTACATAAACAAGTTGGAAAGTGTTTTGCTCCCTGAGTCTTCAGAATTCAGATTCGGTCTCCATAATCCATTTTTATTCCAACTTATGCAGATACAGAGACATAATTTTAGCCAACCGATATGGTTGGATATTGCCATTTTATCTCCCTTTGGTGAAATATTTCAGAACCAGTCAAGTAGGATCCATTGCCCCAAAGCTTAGGCCACAATAAAGCTTAGTCTTTAAGACTGTTCGTCACGCTTTACATTCTGAAGTCTTCTCTCTGCATCACTGGCCACTACTAGCATAAGGATGTTGTAAGCTAGAGTCAGATGTACTACTTCTTACAAAGTGGCAAATGCAACAAGAGCCTGCTGTTCTGTGTTTCTTATGATACATAGTTCTGTCCTCAGACATCTCATGTGTGTTTTTATTGTTTGTTGCATTTGTTTGCCACAACCCATAGCTGTGGGGCTCTCTGGGCAGCTTACAAATTGAGAATAGGATGTATAGGAATGTCTTGTAAATGTTTAACTAAAACAAAGAAACTCCAGTGTGGCTTAAACAAGAAAGAGAAAGAACTCCTGTGTTAGTTGTACCCTTCTATTTATTGGTAGATACATGGCTGCCCCCCACAGGTACGTGCGTCTGATGAAGTGGTCAGTGTCCATAAAAATGCCTTCCGGAATACAGAAATAAATAAATGCTTGAAGTCTTTAATGTACCACAAACCTCTTGGATTAATTATTTTAATCTCTGTGATTGAGCCTGTGCTCACCGTTATCAGCCTGGTCTTCCTCTGCCATCTGTCCACTTCCTTCTGGATCCTCAATTGCTTCCTCTTTCTCATTCTGAGAGAGAGAGAGAGAGAGAGAGAAAGAGAGAGAGAGAGAGAGAGAGTCAAACATGAATTCAGTTTATATGTTCAAATTCCAGTACAAGTGATGCTGTAGCAGCGTTTGAGTTACAACTTCAGTGGTTGGTTCTACTCTGCTGCCCCTGCAGTTCAGGGAATTTACTTAGCTTGGAACCATGACTGCCCAATCTAGAAACCAGAGCTGGGCTTCAGGCGTCAGCATTGTGAGGCAATTGATCAGGCCCAAAGTACTGGGGGGATGACGGACAGACTACTATTTCGTAGAGCACTTTCATCTTCCTTGCTGTCACTACCAATGTATTTGTCCCCTTTAAGGAAGGAGGAGTAACAAAAGCAAGGAAAAGAAGGCACAACCTCAGAATGATGCAAGGAGTCCAGACTGTGTAGGCAAAAGCTTTTCGACACCCCCTAAGCAGGATGGGACCAGCAGCTCACACACCTGTTTTATGGAAGAGCTTTCCTGCCCACAAGACACCTAAGACACATCTGTTGGCTGGACAAACTTGCCTTTTATATTGTGTCCATTTTATTGTAAACCTGTGGGCAGGGACTTCACAGTTCTCTTGTTTTTGTTTTGTAGTGAGTGTATTTTGGATGTGCACTTCCTGGAGGTTCTTACTTGGGACCTTTGGTTGCTGTTTAATGAATCAAATCAAATATAATATTTATGGAGCTGGTGTGGTGGTCAGAGTGTGGAGCTGTGGAGATGTGAGCTCTAGCCCCCACCCAGCTACAAGGCTCACCACATGACTTTGGGCCAGTCACTCACTCTCAGCCTAACCTCCCTCAAAGCGTTCGTTGTTGTGGGGATAAAAATGGAGGGAAGGAGATCTGTGTAAGCCACCTTGATTTCCTCACAAAAGGAAATGTTTGGATATAAATGCAACATATTCTTAAATTATTATTAATAATACATTTGTAAAACAAAAGTGACTTGATCTGGACATCTCCAGGAGGGAAGCAGAGGTTGTCATTAAAGTATAAGAGTGGAAAATAAAAAGAATTGTCCAGAGAAAAAGCTATAACATAAATTCCTTAAAACTGTATTTAAAAGAATGATCAGAAGAAGAGACTAATTAATTTAAATTTAATTCTCCTTTCCAATTCTGTTAATTACTGGGCTTAATAATTTTTCAAATGCAAATCTTTAAGGAGAATTGGAGTTTTTCCAATGGGTACAAAAACACTAGCTGCTGCTCATCCCAAAATACAGCTTGAGGCATTTATATGCATTGCTTCTGGATTTCATCCTGGCTTCCATCTGAATGCCAGTCATGTAATGTCACCCATGCACATTCCGGAGGAGTCCCTCCTCATTGCATTCTTCCCATAAGATTCCAGCCACCCTGGAGTTTTCATCTGTAACCCGTGTAGACCACCAAAATGCAACCTCCGCATTGAGCAACTATACCAGGCTCTTGGTGGGGGACTCCGAAGTGCTGCTGAAACTGGAGCGATTCATGTAGGCCAGTGAAGTGCCATAGCGCAAAGTCTCATAAACTGGGTCCACCTTCCCACTGGGTCCTGCTGGTAAAGGGAAGACCACATCAGAGCTAACTCTTCAAACATGGGTGTGAAACTGCTTGAATCAATCCAGCCCAGGATAGTCTCTTCTGGCTGGTGACATCTCCCCAGGCTCTCGAGCACAGAAGCATCTGTCCCATCACCTGCTGCCTGGTCCTGGGGTGCAAACTATGCCCACAAACCCCCCGAGTAAATAAACCCACCTTATTCCCAAGTTTCATGACATATTAAAGTATCTCCCTCTTCTCTCTCACACAGCACACATTCTAACATGGAAAACTGCAGGGTGCACATATTTATAAGCTAAACACTCTCAGACCTGCTCTCCCTAGTCTCAAATAATACCCAAGGATTAGATGATTTTCAACTACATTGCACATTTTAAATATATTACATTAATGTGCCAGGACTAGAAATCAACCAGGAAAAAATCAATGTCTCAAATAAAGCAGCTTGACCTCATTTTGCTAATTTTAACCACAAAATTGCCTTGCAAGATTGTTCATGGAAGATGTCCACCAGGCAGACTGTTACCTGCCCTTTACATCCAAGCAAATTGGCTTCTATGGGTCTTAAAATATCCCTTTTCATAATTAACTGGAACAGCCTGATAATCAAAATCCTGCCAATCCCTAAAAGGGCCTAAATATGGGCAGCCATTTGGCACTGGTATAACCTCTACCTGCTAGGGTGCATCTGGAAAGCCCTGTAGCCACAAAGCAACTGATTTCCCGACGGTTGAGCAGCTGCCAGAATTTCTGCATGCCCACTCTCCACCAGTCCTCTGTGGACTGCACCACTCTCACCTGCAGGGGGGGGCTCCTTGGTGGTCGCTGGCTGTTGCTGGGGTTCGTGCAGCAGCATTGGGGAGCTGAGGTTGCGTCGGAAAGAGGTTGCCTGCTGAGGAACAAAAGTGATAAGAGTGTGAATGCAGTGGTGGAGTCCCAGACTGTTGGCACACTGCCTCTCCCTAGAGGCAAGCGCTACACCATGCAGAAAAGACCACGTTTTGCCCTGTTCTATCCTGCCTACACACTGCCAGTTTGTTATGTTACTTTCCACAGCTCTCTTATGCATTGACATGAATGCAGGAGTTGCTCACATGAATCGCAAATTGTCAGAAGCACCAGAGGAAAAAGCAAGCAGAACTCTACAGATCAAAAAGAGATTCTTATGCTGGTCCTAGGAACTGGTCTGAAGAGTTCATGCAAGTCCTGCCAGTCTAGGGCAGGGGCTAGATCAGACCTGGGCAGCCACCAACATGCAGGATTTCTCAGTCCACCTTCATTTCCAGGCCTGTCCCCTCAAGCAGCCAACTCATTCAGGTTGTGATTCTTGGTCCCAGGGTTCCTGCTAGGTGTTGGGAAAATTTGGATAAATCCTGGCAGAAAAACATTGCTGCTGTGTGCTTTTGCGTTATAAAATCAGTCCTGCACTCCTTCTCAATGCACCAGCTTTCCAAGCTAAGTCACTGTTTAAAATGGCATTCCTCCCCCGCTCCTTTCTCTCACCTTTAGCTGTAAGCTACAGTAGACAGGCCATTCAGTCCAAATATACATTATATACCTTCACAATGACTAAATAATCCTTGTTGGAATTCACAGTTTACCAGGAAGTATCTATTTTGCTAGTCCAGAGTGCTCCATGCGCCCTGGCCAATCAGAATGGTGCGGATGCATTACTTAGGGTCTGAGTCTAGATGAGCTCACGAGTTCATGAATAGTTTCTCAGTAGCTTGAATTTACATGTCTAAGCATGGCTTCAAGTTACTCAACTAAAGTGTCAATACACTGCAATTAGACATATTGTAATCTCATTGTCACTGTATGATTGGCTGATCTTCCTTTATCTGTTCTGTATGTGATGACCTCAGAATCTTATTGTAATGTCTGCATTCTGTCATCAATTGCTCTGTACCTGTGTACGTGACCAGGAGGGTATAAAATACCCTGTAGTTGTACTGAAACCTTGCAGCGAGTTTACCTGTGCCTGCACGGTAATGCATTATCGTGAGTCTTACTGTGGGAACCTGGGCCAAACAATAAAGCCACAGATGGTCTGAATGCTTGATCTTTCCCACGAACTCGAGTTTTATTTCCTCCTCACGAATTGAAATTCTGGGATCCTGACACAGGCATGAGCACAGTCATTGTCTGTGGCAGTACCTCTGTCTCCACTAGCGGCTGCTGGGTCAAGAAAGGAATTGCACTGCTTCTGCTCCTCCTAGAAAGGTACACCGGGCAGCACAGAGGCTTTCAGTCCTCCTTTCCCTTTCCTCTGAACCCTGAGCCATACATAGGTTTGATCCGCCACTTACTGTCTTGCCCAGACAATGCTGATGAGACACTTCCTCTGAACACCACAGATGCACACTGACTTTGCATGTCTTGCATCTCAGGCCTTGTTTCGAATTTCCTGTGAAATCAATCAAACACACAAAGGAGCTAGAAAGTCCTCTGCGGAGGCACGGGAGCTCCATCATATTTGGGGACCAGGAAGGCAGAGCATTGATCAAAACATATGAAAAAGCAAGCAGGTAAAACAGGCTGAAGTTGAGTTCTTTCATCAAACCCATCGGCACGGTCAAAGGGAAAGGCTGTGTTGCAGCAATACTTTTCTCCAACCGTTTCATGCTTCCCCATACAACCAAATGCTTAGTCAAGGTCACTTTCCCTTTGAATATTGGGATCTGGGGCTCTGCTGAAAAGCCTGTTTGTTTGCCAACGCACACATCAAGCGCAAGGCAGCGGGGCAAGCGTCTCTACCGGGGGCAGGCAGCACACAGCCTTTCTAAACTGTACAGGCAGTGTAGGCCTGCAAAGCCCCATCGGTTCCCTCCAAGGCAAACCACATGGCCTCTGAACATCCCGCCCCTCTTCTACCAGCTTCTTGTCATCTGGCTGCGTAGTCTAGCCTCCTGCAGCCTCCATCCCAGTAGCTCAATTGCTCCTTTCCAGTTTCCACTCAGGCAGATGAGGCATGTTGGTAGCCAAGCCAGGAGCCATCAAAGCCCATCTGGGGGAGCATCACCAGCATCTGTGCTTAATCCTGATCACCAGCACCACAGTGGGGTGAAGCAGGGAGGCAGTAGCACTGCATCTGAGGTTCAAGACAACCCCATTTACTGATGGGAGAGGGCAGAAAAGGAGGATGACTGGGACTCACTGGTGTGCTTGAGTGGTCTGCAGCCAGAACTAGAGAGCATTGGTCAAGGCAGGTAAAAGCAAGGGATACCTTTGTAATGCCTTACCTACAATAAGCTGATGGCAGATCTCACAAGGATGGTGTTTCTTGAAGATGTGCTCCTGGAAGCTGTGTGTTTTCATGGGCTTGAGGGGTGCCAGAGACTTGTGACCTAATTTTGGAGAGTGCTCTGCTTCAGTTGCCACTGGTGGTGGAGATGGGGGTGGCACGGAATCTGGGGGGCTCAGCAGGACATCAGAAGGTAGCTTGAACTCACTGTTGGAGCGCAGGAAAAAGTTCTCGACGCTCTTGCTCCGCAGGATGGTTTTGAGTGAGAGAGAACGCTTGAAACGCTGCAGCTGGCAGGCAGCAGGAGAGGAAAAGTGGAGGAAAGAAAGAGGATTCAGTTATGGTAAGGCAACTGCGGAAGCATGAATCTTGCCAAACCTCTTCTGGTGTTAGAAGATCTCTCACACCACTGAGACACTGACCGCTTAGGGAAATGAGAAATGCATCAAATAAATTTCCATTCAAAAACTGCCCAGGAAAACATGGGCTAAAGTAGAGGAGATGTGAGAGAGGAGGAAAGTGCCTCCTGATTTTAAAAAAGCACATACAGAAAGTCTTTCTAAAAGCGGAGGCCTCTGAATTAGACCTGGCGGGCTGCGGGTGATGGAGATAAGTCTGGGAAAGGAAGAGTGCAGGCGAAGTGTCTGCTAGAAAGCCATCTTCCTTCTGCTGCTCTTTCTTCCTGCAGGGGAAAAGAGACATACGCGCTAATGGGGAAAGTGGCATTTAACACACTGCAAGGCAGACTTGCAAGTTCTGGCTGCCTCAGTGTGGTAAGCATAAAGCAAGGGAGACACTAACAAGAGACAACAATTAAGCACAGTGGGGGCAGCTTACAGGCCTGGGGGTTGAGGGGCAGCTCAGTTCAGTAGCAACCCATCTGCTCTTGCTCACGGGTGGAGTGTGGACACAGCCGCCTGGGGCTAGCATTAGTCCTGGGCTTCATCCGCTGCTCTTTCTCATCCTCTGTTTCTAGCAAGCAACGGCAGAGTAGCCAGCAAATCAACTCAGCTTGCACAGCATGTGGTAAACTGCAAGGGAGTCTAGGGCCAGCAAAAGGGAGCAAGAATATTTAGGTTATATTTTCACCTCACTTTGTGGAGAAGTGGCATGGTTAAATAGGAAGGTAGGAACTGGTTTTCACCATCCATCCCATAGGGAGAACTCAGGCACCTTTAAAATGATCCAATTTACATCCAAAAGCTTTTAGAATCTCAAGAGTAACCCTCTACTGCAGCTTTCCCAAGTGGTACCTTCCAGAAGTCTTGAACGCAACTCCCATCTATCCCAGCCAGCATAGTCAATGGTCAGGAGCACTGGGAATTGCTGTCCAAAATATGTGCAGGGTGCCAGGTTGGGAAGGAAGCTCCAGTGCCTTAACATCAGCACCAAAACGACAGCGGAAATAAAGCTAGGATAGTCATTAATACTCATCAACTAATTCTAACTGCAGGGGCAGGCGTCCTACATGTCTAGGGCTCTAGTTTAATTTCTAAAGCTCTCTTGCAAGAGTGATCTTTTGCTTCTCTAGCAGTCTGCTGGATGGGGGCGGGGATGAAGAGGGAAGAGAGAGAAAAGAAGGTGACAGAAAAAAAGGGAAAGGGCTGGCAGAAACAGAAGAGGAGTCCTGTTGTCCTGTTAATAGCTTTGGGCCCGCCCCCATCAGATTACAAAGGAATATGACCCTTGACAGAAAATAAATCACTTCTGATTTATTGAATAACTATATCTATTATTAGAACAACCTAAAGATGAGGAGACAGGATGGAAATTTATAAAAGGATGGTGAGGAGAAAGAAACGGCTTCCTTAAGGCTCAGATTTCCCAGAGACCTTCTGCTTTTGTTTGGCTTGTCCAAACCCCTCGCAAGAATGGCTTTGTTTGGGTGCTTTTGGAGCTCAGCAAAGGCAGCATAATGGCTAGATTGCCACACCAGAATTAGGGAGAAGCAAGTTCAATTCCCTACTCAGGAATCCCACTGGATGACTTTGTCCTGTCCCTGGCTCTGGTTCTAACCCACCTCAAAGCAAACATTGTCCCCTTTCTTGAATTCTTCAGAGGAAAGGGGGGATATCAGCAAAAGAAGTTAACACATAAAATGAAGGAAGCAGTCTTAGTGTTACTGGGCACCAGGTATAATGCAGATTGCAGGTGTTGAGAAGGTGCCAATTCAATCAAAGGGAACTAGTGACTGGAGATGGTCTCTGGACAACTGGACATCTCTCTCCCATTTTTCAGTGTGATACCCATCAGAGCATTGGGAAGGTGACTGCAGAAGCATTCCTGAGGTCCTAGTGCACGAGTAGCCATTGCTCCGATTGCTGAAGTGTCTTTTTCCTCCATGGACTTCAGTCTTATGTAAACAGAGCAAATCTGGCAAAGGCGTCCTAAGACGGCAGCACACTCTCTTCCAAGGAAAACCAAACCTCACAGAGCTGCCTTGGGAGCGCTCAGTGCATTAGGGAAGGGCGGGAAGCTCAAGAGAACGGAACCCAGAAGCAGAGCTACTAATTACAAGACAACAACCACTGAGAATATGCAATTCTGAAGGCAGTTTATGACTGTCATCAGTGTGATGGGCTCCTTTTCAGCCAGCTTATTATTGTGCTTAGTGTTGATTGCAGAAATGTGATTTAAAGCCAGGTCCAAATCCACTTTTTTCCTTGGGTGGCCAAAAGTGGATGATGACGACGGGAAGCACTGGGCCGAGGACAGTGGATTGATACGGGTGGAACAGAAGGTTAGCTGATCAGCTGTGGAAACTCAGGAAAAGAAATGTCTACAACTGACGGGGAGTATATTGGAGATATTTTAGGGGAAGGAAATGTCTGGATTCAGAGAACTTAGAAAGGAAAACAAAAAAGCACAGGTTCCCACATTGGTCATAAAAAAAATCTCCCAATGGCAATATTGTGATTAGGCCATTCTAAAGTTCAAAAGAAAGCGTGTCAGGTTTTTGTGATCTTCCAAACTCTTCAGCAGGCCAGATGGTAAACAAAGAAGAAGAGCTAGAAAAACAATCTGGCTGATGCCGGTGCTGCGGAGTCTGCATTTAGTTCACAGTCTTAAAATGGAATGAGGAGGAGGTGGCAGGTGCTTTTTAGGTGCCGCGATGGTTTTGGGTTGCACTTAGGATGGATGAAGAAACAGTTGACCTTCCTTGGGTTCAAGGCCATTCCAGCATTTGACGGCTGGGTGGACTGCATTCGGTGCATAAAGCAGCTAAGTGGTGCACAGCACAGAAGTAAGTGCAAGGACAGGCGAAGTTCTTCCAGGCAACTTCAGCATCGGGCGGCTGTCGCACTCCAGCTCTTCACATGAACCCAGAATGGTGGCTGAGCCAGCTACTTCTGCAGACTTAGGCAAAAATTAATCCCCTCACCCTCTCCTTGCAGGGATTTTTCTACTCCATTCAGATGCATAAAATTTGGCAAAAGGAGCTGTGTGCACAGGGGAAGAGATGGAGAGTAACTTCTCCCACACTTCAGTTTATGTTATTCCTGGGGGCAGAGCTCTGAATGGGAAATCTGTCCCATAGCTAAAGGGTTTGCCCACAGCCCCTGGAGTCTGGCTGACCTGGGCAGATTGTGTGTATCGCCCTCTAGTCAGGCTGGCTCTGGAGCCAGGGCTCAGCCCTAGAAAGGGAGGGGAGAGCTGCAAATGGACTTACAGCATTTATGGCTAAAAGGAAGATGGCTTCTTAGAGACCCCAGGCACCTGTTCTGTGGGGGACAGAATCCATGTATTGCACCAGCTTGTCACCATCCAAGCACACATAACACACATTTCTTTATGTATCCTTCTCTAGTTAATGTTATAGTTTAAAAAATCCAAGAAGAACCCAAAACCAGTTTAAATAGCAACTAAGACTTGCAAAGCACTTAAAAACCTTTGAGAGCATCAATCCAACCATCACCCTGTCAAATACAGGGTCATTATTCTCATGCCTTTGTGTATAGACAGATGCTAATTTACTGCAAACACACAAGATGAATTAGGTGACCAACATGCCACCAGTAACATTTCGTACTGAATGCAAGGAGAGAGTGACTTGGGATCCAGCTTGGATTGTAAGAATTTTGCCATGGTCCATATGAGGGTTTTTCTTCCGCTTCTAGTCTTAGACATGTGCAGAATGTTGTCTCCCTCAATGCTGATTGGCAATCCTGAATAACCACTCTAACAAGTTGGAGGCAGGGAACATTTTTTTAGAAGAGAGTCTTGGAGGACTTTCCGAGAGGTGCATTGCTCCCTGTGGTATACATACACTTTTCCTTTGCCTTGCTGTTGCCTCTGGATAAAGAGAATTTGCAGATTATTGAAACTATAAAAAGTTGTGCCAGAAGCAACAGTGGGATTATATCCAGCAACAACAGCATCTTTCAAATAACATTCAGCCCTTTGAAAAGCCTGCAGTTGTGTTCACCAACCTGAATGGGGTAGTAGAACCTTAAAAAAAACCATGACAAACACACAGATTAAAGCAAGTGTGGAACTCTGAACTCTCTCATCTGCAAGCCCCGATTCTCTGATGCCTACAAAGAGCAGGCGTTCTGCATCTTATTTGCTACTGCTTTGCATATATCAGGCCTGGCTTTCAAAACTTCTCAGCCTATGCAGCTGAGTCCTGCTCTCTCTAATTAAGCCCAGTATGGGGAAAGTGGGGAAACAGCAAAAGAATGCCTTCAAGTACAGGGAAGCATGCAAGAGAGAGGCAAGGTGAAAGAGACAGGGAGTGAGTGTGCACATCATGGGGCTGGCTTTTCCTGCATCAGCAGGGGACCCAGCTGGCGGTGCAGTCTGAGCTTAAAAGCTTTCAGCTTTGCTTACTGCTGATGAGCTGGAGCCACTGGAGCGAGAGAGACACTGCCCTGTTCCAAACCTGGCCAACTAATGCAAGCTGCCACCCCTCATAATGTCCCGAGGGGATCTTGCTAGCTCAGGGAGGAAGCTGGAGCCCACTCTGGGCCTGGACTGCGCCCCTGAGCAGCTTGCCCACAAAGGACTGCCAAGTGCCCAGTCTGGGGTGCATCTGATTCTCTGCCAGTTCTATTCCCACCATTTAGCCTCAAGAGACGCTGTACAGACCACAGAGGTGTCATCCCTGGCTAATGGTCTAGCAAATCTGGATTAGATGAACAAGGCAGGGTTTAAGGAAACACAAAGCTGTGGTGGGCAGTGTAGGGGCTGCCAGCAAAGTGACGCCTGCTACACTGAGAACAACCTAGCCATGGAGCTTTTCCAAGCACACTTCTGCACATGTATAACTCAGTGCAGCTAGATATGCCAA